CCAGCAACATGCTGCTATCAACAAGTTCCTATAAGAGGAACTTTCCGTCGAACGACAGAAGATAGCCTTGCTACAGCATCAAGGCTCTCATCAGTCGATGGGTGGGCCGACGCACACGCGTAGACCCGAAACCTTGAAGATAGATATACCAAGGTACAAGGGAACCGATAAAATTCACTTTTGAGGTGGTTCGTCGAGCTAGACGATGCCGTCAGGGCCTGACACATCGAGGGTAACGAGACGCAAGTCACCTTCGCCCTGTCAAACCTTTTACGAGACGAGCAAAGACTTGGGCCTTAGGGCTCAAGCTTCACGACCCAAACGTGTTCGAGTCATTGGAGATCTTGAAGTTTCAGCTTAAACAAACGTTTGAGCCGTCAAGCGACGAGTACAGAGCACGCTCTGTACTCTTGAGGCTCAAGCAAGGTAAGCGTGACGTGCACGCTTGAGGCACCTGCACCTGGGCTACCTTGCTAGTAGCGTCACGGAATACCCTATTGCTAAGCACACGCTCATCAACGTGTTCATCGACGGCATTGTAGATGGACCGGTAAAGACCTACATGTTCCGAGAGGACTTCCATACGATGGAAAAGGCGATAGCGCATGCAAAACAAGAAGACTTTAGCCTGAGACAGTCTCAGGCTAACTCGTCAAATTGTCCTAATGGACGACAGAAAACAGAAGGTTCCAAACCTATGGACCTCTGCTACATCGAGAGCGAATACTTTCGCTCTCTGAGTCACAAGTGAACGGCAAGATGCCATCGCTATCAGAAGATTGGACACTACGCTCATGAGTGTATTGTCCCGAGCACTGCAACTCGTTCAAAGACAGGACGTGATGACCGCCGCTGGCCAAGGAAAGGTCCAAGGCGTGGGTCCGACCATTTCGCTAAGCCGCGACAGCAAGTCGGACCGTCAAAAAACGGTCAGGGTCAGTAGGGACGGAGCACCCTGCTGATCCAGCAACGTCAAGAAAATTTGCAGGACTCTTGACGAAGATTGCTCCAAAAACGCAGTCTCTATGTGTTACTGCCCTTAGTGATGAGGAGTCTCTCATCACTTAGAAAATCGAAGTGACAAGTGGAATGTCCCTTCGCACCCTAGTTTACTGTGGGGCGTCGAACAGTTTTATTCGACGCCAGTCGTTAGAGGATAGTAGGCTCAACTATGTTGAGCGAGAGTTTCCTCTAAAGAGGATGACGGTGTGCCTTGCTACAGGCGCATCTGTAACAGAAAACAAACGTGTGGTGCAAATCTACTACACGCTAGAAGGAAAGCAGTACGATGACGACTTCACCATACTAGATTTGGATGACTAGTTTGATATCATCCTCGGTCTACCACGGCTTAAAAAATACGATTCATAAATCAGCTGGCCGCATCGATTCGTGAAGATGTCTGCCGTTTTTTCATGAGATGTCCATCTGATGAACGTCTTGGAGCGTCCACAAGCGTGTGGATATACTGATACGAGTGTAATGGACTCACTTGTGGTACGGTCGTTAGTACGATTGCACAAGATCATAGTGTAGAAAGCCACTACACCGTGGAACCATCTTCCGGCACCTGTGTAGAGACACAGGTTGCGCCGAAGGTTCACCACTCGAAGAGATCGAGCGGACTGGAACACGGATGCACACCAAGAAGGGTGCATCCGAGAAGAGAAATTAGTGTTGTTCAGGATGGACAACATGATAAAGCGAGATCGACTATCAGAGAGTCGATCGTAAAGCAAGCCCGATTGACTGAAGGACAGTCGATCGAAGAGGACGTGACCGTGATTACACATAATGGAAGAAAGTTCCAGCGTTTCCGAGAGTGATAGCTCCCGAGATGGTTATGTTGAGGATGTGTTTCTTCAGCCACCTCCGGGTGCTTCTTCTCATATAAGCACCGATACATTGAAGGTCTTATCGAACGACGGTTTTAGTGTAGGCGCTTAATTACTTGATATTATACATCTTCGAAGTCAGCTTCGGAGGTAATCAAGTTGCCAACGCTAGAATCTAAGAGATTTTTGCGAAATCTGCGTAGTGACAAGATCAAACAGATCTGCGTACTCGTCACAGAGGACGAGTACGTCGCCGATATTCGGTCGGTACAATTGTTTGCTGAGAACGAACGGGTTCTCAGTAGCTCATCAATGGACGATATTTTCCTCGATGAGAAGACTTGGATTGAGCGATACATGTCTCAATCTTGGAAGTTTTTAAAGACAAAATATTCGGATCAGGATTTAATCGAATTTAGGAATGTTGCCTCAGAATCCGTGCCATGAAAGCTGCTCAAGGAAAAAGGAAGTCGTCACGAAATCAAACTCAAACCTGCTTCAAAGTACTGTGTCATGAAACAGTAGCTACTGCCTTGTAAAAAGGTCACAGCGATCGAAAATGTCTTTGCCTTTCGCTTAGCTGCTGATTATGTGAGGGGGTCAACATCCTTTCACAGCTCTCCAACCTTCTGTAAGCGAAAAAACACACGATAGTGGCGGATAGTGCACGCATTAAGAAATTTGAACGCTGCAACGGTATTGGCGTCTGATCCGATGCCGAGGAAGGACGTCATCATAGATGGCATGGCAAAGAGTTCCGTCTTTTCGTCTATGGATTTGATGGATGATTTCTATCAGATCCTCGTGCTTTAAAGGGTTATCCCTTAAACAGCAGTGAGAACCCCCAGTTGTATGCTCTGGGAGTGGCTAGTGATGCCAAAAAGGCTTAGTAACGCCCCCGCAACGTTCAACAGATGTGTTACATATCTGTTGCGATCGGTGCGCGATTTCGCACCGAGTTACTTCGATGAAGTATTTGTCCATAGCCGGGCTATGGATAGAAATACGGTCGTGGAGGATCATAGAATCTACGTCCGGAAGGTTCTTACACCTATGCGCGAGCATGAGTTGTTCACGAACCTCAAGAAGTGTACATTCGCAGCGAACGAAATACCGCTACTTGACTGCATCGTGGGTAAAAACGGTATAAGCCCTGATCCGGGAAAGATTAAGGTGATTTGCGACTGGGCTGTGCCAGTCGGCGTCAAGGGACTTCGAATGTTCCTTGGCTTGGCGGCGTACTTTCACAAATACTCACGCAAATATGCCGAGATGACCGTACATCTCTCTCGTCTACTAAAGAAAAACGAGAGGTGGTCATGGAGTGCTAAATTTCAGCACTCTTTTGAAGGCATCAAGAATAGCTTGATAAAATCGCCTGTGCTGGCGATTGCAGATCAGGACAGACCATTCCATGTGGTCAGTGACGCCAGCGATTTTGCAATCGGCTGCGCGTTAATGCAGTTACGACTCAGACGGCGTTGAGCGCGTCGTCTGATATCAATCGCGTCAGCTGCATGCAGCTGAGCGTAATTATTCAGTGCATGATAAGGAACTTCTTGCCATAAAATATGCACTGGCTAAGTTTCGGGTACATCTCTTCAGATCTAGGCCCTCCATCATTTGAAACGACCATGCGTCGTTACACACGGCCGTAAACAGTCCACACCTCTCGCAGAGAATGGCAAGGTGGCTGTCTTTCTTCGCGAAGTACAACTTCTCGGTCGAGTGTAAACCAGGACAACTTAATTTCGTCTCTGACGCTCTTTCACGTCGGCCCGATTTGTAGCCAGCTGCTCGAAACAACCGTAGGTGTGATCCCACTGTAGCAACACTAACAGTGATTGTTCCGTCTTTGAATCTGCTCGACGACGTGCGGAAGGCGTACACAGAAGATGAGTCTCTTTTGCGATTGATGGATTACGTGTATAATCCATGCAGTCAAGCTTTGAAAAGATTGTCGTCTCGATACCGCTCTATAACCAAACGGTATTCGGTTCGTGATGGACTGCTGTACTATACAGCAGGCAACGGTGACACACCTCGTGTCGTCGTTCCCGCTCACAATGATTTGCGATTGCGCGTCATGTATGAGTGTCACGATGCCCCACCAAGTGGGCATCGCGGTAGAGAAAAGACTTACCTCATGGTGAGTCGTGACTTCTACTGGCCCCGCCAGTATCAGTTTGTGCGCACATACATTCGCGCTTGCGAAGTTTGTCAACTGGTGAAGCCTAGTCCTTCGTCACGCCCACCCTTGCAGCCTCTTCCGATTCCGGCAGAGTGCTGGCAGTCCGTATCGATGGATTTCGTCTTTGGGTTTCCCAAAGACGTTCACAAGAATACTAGTGTTCTTGTGTTTTTTGATCGTTTCAGCAAGAAGGTGCATCTTGTTGCTGTACCGGAATCAATGACAGCCCAGGGCTGTGCTCGTGACTTCATCGATACTATCTTTTGACTTCACGTGTTACCTTACGAACTCGTGTCTGATAGGGACCCCCGCTTTACGGCGGAGTTCTGGCAATCCGTGTTCTGTTCACTTGGAACACTTTCGGAGGATGTCAACTTCTGACCGTCCAGAAACAGATGGTCAGACGGAACGCGTCAACCGCGTCGTCGAAGAGATACTTCGAGGGAATGTCCACTCGTTTACGAGTTGGAGTGAGTTCTTGCCGATGGCGGAATTTTCTCGGCGCATGCATTGACAACGCAGACACCGTTCTTCGTGAATGGCCTACGCCATCCAGGTTTACCCGACTTCTTAGAGTGTGACTGTAGTTTAAGGGGGTGAAATCGCTCGAACAAAACCGATATGGTACTAGATCATCTCACGTCGACAATGGTGTCGGCGTGATGGATGCCGATGTCGATGCGATCGACATCGATGATTATGATGACGACGGTGCTGGTATATTCAGCATCGCCAATGACGGCCAAAGTGAGGACGACGACACCCTCACTGGTAAAGACAATGTTCTTTCAGCAGTGCACACGAAGCGCACGGCTGTTGACAAGGATGAATCAGCAGAGGCATTTCTGCTATTTCGCGAAGCTGTTGTCCGCTTCGTTCAAGACTCAATTGCAGATGCACTAGACAGACAGAAGAGAAACGCAGACAAAAATGAAAGAGCTAATGTTCTTTCATTTGATGAAGGACACCTAGTTTTACTGTCTCCAGTAAACCTACCGAAACACGCAGTGACAAACGTGGGCAGCAGTAAATTCCTGCCCAAGTACATCGGTCCATTTCGTGTGTTGCGCCGAATGGGCAACGCATACATGATTGAACTGCCCCGTAAGATGCGTACGCATCCGCCCGTACTATCAGTACGAGCCCGTTTCGAGATGCGAAGAATACCTCCGTGGTCGAGGGCCGAGACCACCTTCGAGCGGTTCCGTTTCAGCGAGCCAGTCTGGTCGACTAGCGAAGCGACCTGTTCACGCAGTTCAGCGATGTCTCGACGAGCTACAGCCAGCTCGTCACGAAGAGAACGAATCGAGCTTTTGTCTTTAAGTTGCGCGTACGCAAAAGCGGAACGATCGTCCGAACGATCGTGCGTTAGGGAATCATAAATATCCATTACATCATTCTCAAGCTTATAACGCCGAACCCGTTCGTGAGCCAGGTCATCTTGCAACTGCTCCTTTACATAATTCAGCTCTAGAACATCAAGCTGATCCGACCCTCGAGCCGGATCGGGTGTTCCCGCCGCCACCACATCCTTCGGTGGATCAAAGCGGTGGTCAACAATTCCTAGTGGAGCGTGTTTTGAACTACCACGATGTGAATGGCATTTGGAAGAGTTACCTCGTTCGCTGGCGTGGCTATCCACCGGCGTGGGACAGCTGGGAGCCTCGTGCCCAGCTGATTGTTGATGTCCTGGGTCTCTTCGATCAGTACGATGAGACCCACCCGCTGCGTTCGAAGAAGGGCCGTCGGAAAACGACCTCCCCAAACGCGAGTACATTGATTGCAAGGTGTCAATCCCTTCGGCCATCTCAGAAGAGATGCGCGCCCTCCAGTAGGGAACGTTAGGGAGGAAGGCCTCTCTAGGGGCACGGTTCAAGTTGTCCAGGCAACCTGTATACTTTTTCCCCCTACGAGAGACAGGGTAATCCTGCCTCTCTAGACACTAAATGCGACTTGTACCGTACACCGGCTTGGTTACGCTTTTAAACCTGATACGAGCTGCATCAAGTTTACCGAACCAGGCCTCACGGCCAATGTACTTGATGTTATGGATGAGGGCATTACATTCTTGCACCATGGCCTTTCCGTCTCGACCGCGGTTGCCATTGCACCACCGATGTTTGAAAATCACATCGGTGAAGAATTCTTCCTCAGCACGGATAGTTTCCGTGCTAGGATCAGGTGGGCAAATCTTCCTGCAATCGAACAACGGGATTTGATCCCGCTCGGTAGTCATGCCGGCCAACCGGTCCAACTCTCTGGATGGCGGCATCCACGGAGACTCCACTTGGGGAGCGTGGCGCAGGACATTTCGGTCCCTGGCCTCTTGATTGGTGCCAGCATGAGCACTGGTACCAGTGTTACCCCGATCCCTTGAGTTAATTCGTTCGTGGTGATGTATAGGTGCACCACCACAATCTCTAGGCGTCCTATCGTTGGATGGACTTGCGTGAGGCGGAGACTCATCGGATTTATCACTCGATACGAAGATCTCGGTCATGATCCCGCCGCATTGACCAGAGCGAGATAACCTGGCTCTTGCAGTGTCCGCCCTAGTGGTCCGGAGGCGTGAGATGTCGCCTTCGAGTCGGATGCATCATCCGACTCGCCAGAATAGGTGAGCTCTATCTCAGACTCGTCTTGATTACAATTCGAGGTACCCGCTGCAGACGCAAAGGATGTACTTGTCGCACGTGGTGACTCACCACGTGGACTGTTCACGACAACAGGCGACGAATCACCTGCTGCTGAGGTGTAAGAGGCACTTTTCGCGGCTGCACGCATGCTTGCAGCCGTCTTTCTTGCTGCTGCAGTAGCAACTCGCTTGGTTTTCGACACCATGCGATGAAATTGCAAACGAGTTGGAATTTGTTCAGCAAGTGCTCCCCTTCCCAGGGTTATCTAAAGGTGATCACCCTGTCCCAATCATTTAATTTCAATCAGCGGGTGATTGATGGTTGGGGGGGGTGATGAAACGGGGTATCCCGTTACATGAAATTTGCATTAAACGGTGTCAATAGAATGTAGTCTAGCATGACAATATTCTACCAATTTATATCCGAGATGGATAATATTGAAGGAATTTTGAAGGAATAGTATCCCCTTTTAAATAACGTTCATGCGCTGCTCCAAGATTGGTCGATATCAGACATATCAACCATAGATTGCCACCAATCGCTGTTAGACGCGCGCAATGAGTGGTGAGCAGGTTGTCGTCATAGGACGGCATAGTTTAATATAGTTCGATAAAGATTGAAGTTATATTGATAGCTTAACTATACTAAATACAGTTCTCTTTTTACCCTTTACTTGACCGAATCGGTCAAGTATATTAGCTTCCTCTGCACGTACTAGTGTACGTAAAGTTTCGTGTCACCCAGACAAAGGGTGCCCCGTTTCAGCATGCTCCACAAAAGGACAGAGAGCGGAGAAAGACATATTTTTTTCGTGCGGAAGCGCAGATGATGCTCAAGTACGGGAGTACCTTCCAATCACATGAGTCCGTTAAAACATGAACGTGGTCAATCGTTGTTATCTCAATGCGCAAACGACTAAGCCAGCGTGTGCCCAGCTTAGCAAGCCCGTATTCAATTTCTTTGGCAATCTACTTACATTTTCCCACATCCGGTTGGTCAATGGAGGCAGTACTGCCGCAAATTCAATCGGAATATCTATCGAGTGTGCATTAACTGGATACCCGCATTACCTCTTTCAAATGGACATTTTTGCAATTAAGAAGCAAATTTTTTTTGAAGACCTGTGTTCTCACCAATTTTATGCATCACTACTGCGGACTTGACATCAGAGACGCTTGTGCAAGTGGAACAAACAAATGAGATCGTGAGCCGGTTTACACATCTCTATCAATAACCGCTGTAGTCTCAACATTATATCAAAATCTATCCTCCACTAAAGTGTTACTCGATGAAGCGTGTGCGTGTTTTTTCTACGAGCTGTTTTGTTTGGTCTATTGGACACTTGCAGCCTAGACGGTCAAACACAATTGCCAGTGAAAAAATTGACGCGCATGCTGCATCGTCGCTCACAAAGTGGCTATGTTTTGCCAACCCCCCAAATTGATACCCCAACCGCTTCAATACCGATAGAATATTCTCAGACCGATCCAGAAGAAATTGAAATGAATATCGACGACGTTGGCGCTCATTTTTTCAGCCATAAGCCAAATGAAACATGCATGGACCGTAGATTCGTCCTTCGGCTCAATCCCGTCGCTCTCCAGGGACTTGTAAGCCATTTGTTAACACTGTGTTACTCGTAGTCTAACGAAAGAATGTGACTGATGGGTAGCTATCGTGGACGTGTTGCAGGAGGGTTGTCAGGTCCTCGATACACTTTTACAGAAGGAATGAAATTGTAACGGGGCACCCTGAAGCTTGTACTGGTGACAGTACAAGCTACTTATTCTGATAACAGAATAAGGCGGTGCCTCGTAACTTCACGTACACTCGTACGTGCAGAGGAAGACGGTAAGAAGAAGCGAGTACTTGGTTAGAGTAAAAAGTAGAACTGTATTTATAATAGTTAATGTCTGCAATAAATCACTATTTATCTTCATCTAACTATGTCTAAATACAAATGTGTAAATCAGTTATCTGCTCACCACTCATTGCGTGCGTCTGTCGTGGCGCGTCTTCGTTGGTTGATATAATGGCCTATATCAACCAATTAGGAACTACTTGGAAGTGCTACAGAATACTGTCCTTATGACAATATTCTGAGAATATAACTCTTATAGTTATATTCTATTAACAATCTCTTATAAATTGTTATGTAACGATTCACCCCGTTACATCACCCCCCCTTAACCATCAAACACTTTAGTGACTGATTGACTAAATGGATACTCGTCCCAAATCATTTGGGACGGGGTTTGCACTTGTTGGTCCGCGTCCACTTTCCAACATCTCATCGCATGGTAAACAAGCCCATGCGATGCGCGAGCAAGGCCGCCGAGAGCGCGTCTGCACGTCTCTGTGCGGACGCCGAAGCAGAAACTACAGCAACTGATGTCCCATCGGTTGCTGAATCGACTCAGCCTGTATCACCTGGTGATGCAGGCGCTGGTCATGAAGACACTCGTGTCTTCACAGAGTACGAGCTCGGTGTCTCGTACTCTCCTGATACGGATGACGGATCCGTATCGACGGCAATTGAATCCAAGCCGCCTGCCAAGCGTGGCATGGACGATGCTTTGCGTCGCAGCATCTTTGGTTCATCTGATGAGTCAGATGAACCATCGCCGAAGCGAAGGCGCTCGAGGTCGCGAGACTCGGGCGCTAATAGTGGTGTCGGTTCTCCTATGGACACCACTTCACAGCGAGGTGCCAGTACTTCTGTCGGCACGTCGCAGGAAGAGCGGGACCGCAATGTGTTGCGTCTCGCTCCAGAAAAGAAGGCATGGATTAAGCCTCTCCTGGATCTTGTCATGGATCACTTGTCGGCGACGACGAGTGATCGTTATCGAACACGATTGTTCGATTCGTCGAGGATTCATCACCTTGACCCCAGCGCGAAAGACTATCGCGCTGAACATGAGTTCTTCATCGATGCTTTCTGTAGACATCGATGGTACAGTGGGAATCACAAACGTGATGGTCCCTCACTACTTCAGGCGTGGAACGCCTACATCCATAACCTCGAGGATGTAGGTCGTGACGCTTGGAACGACAAACTTATCAAAGCTCGTGATAAGTTTGAAAAGCGAACCCCGACAGGTGCACGCTACAAGCTGCATCGTCTGTCAAGGGAGAAAGGATTACCCTGCCTCTCTTGGGGAGACTCGTGCCTATGTTGTGTGAACAACTCTGCACGAGCACCTAAGGAGGCTTACCTCCTTACCAGCCCGTGGTGGCGCGTACGTGTCTCTACTGAGATGTACGAAGGGATTGACAACCTGAAATCCCTTTACGACCGTGCCGGGAAGACTTTCTCCGGCGGTCCTTCTGCGGCACAGGATGTGTCGCGTCGTACTGCTCGACCAGACCCAGTACGTCAACCATCAATTGGGAGCGGGGCTCCCAAGAATCCCAGGACGGGGGATAGCCGCGCCACCGAACGAGGTAACTCGTCCGACGTCCGTTCACGTCGCGGTGGTTCAACAGCTGCTCTACTAGATAGCGCTGGCCACCGCGAGAGTCCTCTAATGGAGGTGGAGGAGGAGGAAAGACGCTCTCCACACGATCATGTGGATCGGTGTGTTCCCGAGAGCTTCTTTGATCGCGTAACGCAAGGGTTACGCGACGATCTCGAGCATGAGCGGAATAGGCGTCTCCAGATGGTGGACACTGCCTCGAAGCATCGAGCTGAGTTTGCCTTTGCTCAGCTTGAGAACGAGAGATCTCTGACATCTCTTCGTGACGAGCTAAGGGTAGCTCGTGGGATTGTTGATCGGTCTCGGGCTGAGATAACTGCTCTTCAGACCCTTGTTGATGCCCACCATCGGGAGCACAAGGCTCTCTGCGAGATGCTTGAGCGCAAGGGCGTTCTTCATCGGAAGAAGCAGCGTACTGATGGTACGGCTTAAGCCGACCAACGTAAAACGTGGGATGCGTTCGCATCTTACGTGGTAACTCGATCGTGTATGCATTGCCTAGGCGGTGCAATACACGAAATGGGCCAATGTACTTGGGTAGTAGTTTACTGCTACCCAAGTTAGTCACTACATGTTTTGGTAGATTAACCGTAGACAGTAGGACTAAGTCACCTTTATTAAATAAAAGAGTGTTTGCCCTTCCATTCTTGTCAGCGTTTTGCTTTTGCTTATCCACCGCTTCGGCGATGGAGTCTTGCACAAAACGGACTACCGTTTCACGAGCCAGTATGAACTCATCTGATGACTCGTTAGCTTCAGTGTGCTGTGAGCGCACTGCAGCGACAACAACCTTTTCTTCAGTGAGGGCTTCCGCACTCTCACTGGGATCATTGTCTTCAGTGAGGGCTTCCGCACTCTCACTGGCATCATCTTCTTCGATATCGATGTTATCGATATCGGCATCAAACGCAATGACTTCTTCGTCAGAGCGTGATGAGCGTGAACCAAATCGGTTTTTGCTCGCGCGAGTCCCTCCCCCTTAAACCAGAGTTACACTCTAGTAAGGTGGGTACACGCGGATGGCGCAAGCCATTCACGTAAAACGGTGTATGTGTCGTGGACGCATGCACCGAGTTGTTGATGGCAAACTCTACCATCGGTAAAAACTCACTCCAACTCTTAAAGGAGTGTACGTATCCTCGAAGTATCTCTTCAAGGACACGATTGGCACGTTCCGTCTGACCATCTGACTCTGGATGATCAGATGTTGACATCTTCAAGCGCGTTCCGAGTGATTTGAACACGGAACGCCAGAAATCAGCAGTGAATCGTGGATCTCTGTCTGATACGAGTTCACGGGGCAACCCATGAAGTCGGAAGATGGTGTCAATAAAGACACAAGCACAGCCACTTGCCGTGATTGTCTCTGGTACAGCCACAAGGTGTAC